GAAAGGTTCTAGGAGATATTAGTAATAAGGAAAATGAAGCAGAAGTAGGAGTTAAAACTCATGAACATGTAATTGTAAATCAGAATGATAATCTAATGGTGCTGTAATGAAATTTGTTTTTATTGTAGTGAAAGAATTCAGGATGTGAGTGAAGTTGAAGTGAAGTGGTATGTGATTATCTAAAGTGAATTAGAAGTGTTAATTTTCGTGGAACAGTTCAGTATACCTTTATTTTAAATGTGCAGTTCTAGTGCAATTAAAAGTGTTAATTTTCGTGGAAAATTGCGGTCTAAGTTTTTATTTTAAAAGTGCAGTTCCAGTGCAATTAAAAGTTTTAATTTTCGTGGAAAATTTCGGTCTAAGTTTCTATTTTAAAAGTGCAGCTCTAGTGCAGTAAAAAGTGTTAATTTTGGTGGAACAGTTCAGTCTACCTTTATTCTAAAAGTGCAGTTCTAGTGCAATTAAAGTGTTAATTTTCTTGGAAAATTATCGTCTAAGTTCTTATTTTAAAAGTGCAGTTCCAGTGCAATTAAAAGTTTTAATTTTCGTGGAAAATTTCGGTCTAAGTTTCTATTTTAAAAGTGCAGCTCTAGTGCAGTAAAAAGTGTTAATTTTGGTGGAACAGTTCAGTCTACCTTTATTCTAAAAGTGCAGTTCTAGTGCAATTAAAAGTTTAAATTTTCGTGGATAATTCGGTATAAGTTTCTATTTTAAAAGTGCAGTTCTAGTGCAATTGAAGGACGAGAAAGTGAAGAATAGTTTATTTCAATGAGTGACATCAGTGCTATAGTGTGTGAGTTAAATATAATTTAAACAAATGTTCAGTGTCATGAATATTTGTAGGCATTTGTGGTACCTAGATTTAAGTATATATTGCAATTATAATCAATAGCAATTTTTAGTACTTAAGATAAAAAGTCAAGTTATTTTCCTTAGAATCTGTGCAAGTTCAGAATTAAAGTATATAGTAGAGTTATTCTTTTAAGATAAGTGATAAGTATGAACTTTGTATTTTGATCATTAAGCTGACCTCGTTAAGCATCAATACCTCAATGTTTTCACATCTTCATTTCCTTTCCTAGGTTCCCCATATGTTTTTCTGGACAGTATTGGACAGCCATCGGAAGTTAGACAATAGATCTTTTTAGTTTAAAGCTTTGTGAATTTCTTTCTAATTTTTTGCATATTTACAGCAGGTGCCTGTGGATTGATTTTGAGTGTGGATTCGAACACATACATGTTCGAATTTTAAGTGATATGCTCTACTTGTAATATTTCTGTGTCTCAGTTCTCTTTCAGGTATTTAGAGAGGAGATTGCAGCAGGAAGCACCCTCATTTTTAAGTGCAGGCTGCCTCACAAGTTTTGTCTCATTTGTACATAGATGCCCTCCCCTGTCACCTCTTACCAAATTCTTTGCCAAATTTATCTCGTTTCTAAAATTTAAGTTTGGTTTGCCTTTTGCCAAACAATTTTTCCAAGCCAAAGAAATGGAAAGGCTTCAAAATTCTCAGCAGCATTGTCGCATTAGTATGTTTTTTTTTTTCATTCATACAAATGGTTTCCAAATTACCATTATAACTTGGAATGTCACTAAAAACCTCAAAAATTTTAAAAAAAAAATTAAAAAGCTTTAAAAACCAAAAAAAAAAAAAAAA